GTGTTTCTCTCCCTGTATCGCTCACTCGTCTCTTCTTCTGTGTTTCTCTCCCTGTATCGCTCACTCGTCTCTTCTTCTGTGTTTCTCTCCCTGTATCGCTCACTCGTCTCTTCTTCTGTGTTTCTCTCCCTGTATCGCTCACTCGTCTCTTCTTCTGTGTTTCTCTCCCTGTATCGCTCACTCGTCTCTTCTTCTGTGTTTCTCTCCCTGTATCGCTCACTCGTCTCTTCTTCTGAGTTTCTCTCCCTGTATCGCTCACTCGTCTCTTTCGCCCCCTGTCGGCGGCGGTTAAAATAGAATCGTCCCGTCAAAATTGAAATCCCCTATTAATGTATTGATTATAGGTCCGGGTCCGTATAGGTCGGCGTCCGGATCGCCTGTTACCGACCCCTGCTTTAGGAGCTGTTTGTGTTTGTTGTACAATGTGTAGGTGTGTTTTGTAGAGTGTATGTGTGTGTTGTACATTGTGTAGGTGTGGGTGTGTGTGTAGGTGTGTGTGTGTGAGAGTTGTGTGTGGGTCTCAGTAGCTTAAGGTATAAATGGTCAAAAATGGTACATTCTCCATTAGCCTACTACGAGCTCCACGTTCAAGCGATCGACTATTCCTTTGCAATTTAACATCACATTGGATATGGGCTGAACTTGTCCTGGAATGGAATTTTTCCAATCATTTTCCTAGGAGGAGATGCTTAAAATGCATGAAAAACGCACATTTTTTGTCCACAATTCCATGAAGAATGTCTGTGCCAAAATTTGTGAAGTTAGGAGAAACTATATGTGACTACCACACAATAGGTACTGAGCTGTTTTAACAAAAAATTACGATTTTTATTTTTTTTTTACATTCTCGAAAAGGTTGTGGGCTGTGACGTGTGTCCCAAGTTTTGCGTCCGAAGCTCATTTTAGCACATCGCTATAAAAAAAAATGTATAGGCCACTCCCACGTTCGTTGCAACACTTTAAATCTCAGTTCATACTCACCCCAAGAGTATGTCTAAAAAAAAGAAATGCTTTATTCCCTAAGACAGAAGGAACCTATCCACCAAAATCTGTGATATTTGGATACATTGTTGATGAGTTATGAGCATTTCTTTCTAAGCCGCGCCTTTTTGCAAATACGTTTTGATTAATGGCGGCCATATTTATCGACTGAACATGCTCATTTCCTAGGGTAATGTGTGGGACACTCCACCAATGCTGTAAGTTTGGTGTCGAAAGACTAAAAATTGAAGTGAATATTTCACTGTTTTGAACATTATGCTAATTGCAAAAAAATCTAAGTAGGCGGAGCTTAGAGGTTCAAGAGGACTATATGTAGAGCAGGTCCACCCGGATCCGTGTGAAAAATGTCAGGTCAAACTGACTTACGGTGCGACTATGTAAATGTTTCTAAAATTATTTACATATAGGTGTCGCTAACAAGCATGTTGGACAATTTGAACCCATTGACTCCAGAATGTCAATTTTGTCACCGGTCCTGGCGTCCGTGCAAAATGATACAACTTTTGAAGTGTCCTAAAGCCCTCAAAAATAGGAAACGCCAGCAGAAGAGGAATAATTCCACCAATAACAATAAATTCCTCGCACTTAGTGTTCGGGCCCTAATAAGAAGAAGAAGATTAAAGAGAAAACGTATTAGTCCATTCTCACTAATAATCAGTGTTGTGCTAGTTACTGAAAACCAGTAACTAGTTACCATTACTAGTTACTTCATTACTTCAAAAGTAACGCTTTAGTTACTTAAAAAAAGGGCTCCCATTAATGCCCTTATAGCCTTCCTTTCAGTACTGTTATTGCATTGGAGAATAATACAATCTGTTGATCAACTTCACATGCATTATATGCAATCTGGATTGCATCGATATTAGCTGGCTTTCCATTTTTGTATATTCTTTCTCCAGGTAGTTGGAAAAAGTTTTCCGTCCCATATGCCGTGTGCCGCCCGGACATGCTATCATGCTAACTAGCTCCCTGAAAGCGGGTGACTCCACTGTAGCAATAGCCTGCATGTGTTCTACAACATACCGTGCAATGGCTTTATCGACTTTTCCCTGGCCAGCAGTCCTTTGGTTAAAATCCAGCCGCTGTTGCTTAGGTGGAGGTGGAGTGGCGTCGGCTGAGTCTCTGTGGTCTTAGCTACTAGCTTCGTCCCAGCATGTTGTTTTTGCAGATGTTTTAAGAGATTTGAATGACTGGTTTGGGCAGTAGATAAGATCTTTGACCCGCCAGGACACAACTTACATTTAACAGAAACTTTCTTTTCTTTGTGCTCGACAAAAGTGAAATAGTGAGAATATCTCCAGGTGGAGAAACTAGACTTGAGCTCCGCCGCCGCCATGATAGTCTTGTTAGTAAACAACACAAACACGCCACAAAGTACATTTACTCAAGTACTGTACCAGGGTATATGCAGGAATCCTGAAGTCAAATTTAATACATTTTAAGACCTTTTTTTAAGACCCTTTCCATACATTTTAAGACCTCATCGCAACTTCGAGTTCTAACCGGTTACATTGGCGACACACTTTACCTCACATTTACTATATTGATTGTAAGATAGCACAGCTAAACAGAGTGCAGACAGACTACTGAAGACTCCTCTCCACATGAACTTCAACCTCTCTGTGAAGGTCAGGTTTAATGCAGTATGCTGCTTTGTTGCTTCTGTACTCTTTCATTCCAGTCAAACTCCTCAGAAACCATTAGAAACCAGTATTTGACCAATAAACAAAACAATTGACAAAACTTTGAACTATATTAAACTTTGGTGAGCTTCAGCGGGGTAATGCCATATAGGAGCTCCCTCACAAATACCCAGGGGTTACATTGGGCTGGGGCTGTCCGGGGCTAAGCCCGGCACATAGGACGATGCTCTGACGTCATCACCCTCACACATTTGTCATATGTTTACAAAAAACGATATATATGTTAAGACTTTTCTCGTTCTTAATTTAGACTATATTTAGGGTCGATATGTGTTGACCTTACTTTAAAATAGCAGATCTCTGTGACCTGATATAGTTTGGCTTAGACCCCGGCCCCACGAGGACGCATACAGTAAAACGCATACGCAAACGCAAAAAAGTCTTCCGTTCACACGCATTCGATTCATTAACGTGTCCGTTCACACTAGACCGCTGGAAATGCTGGAAACGCTGTAGTACATATGCCAGGCCTGTAAGTGGCGCTGCTGCCGCCACAAAATACACCAAAAGCAGCGAAGAAGACCCCGGAGCATGGTTGTCATGGTTGTCTTTCTGTTTATTCTCCGCGGTGGACGGCGTGTTCTCCTGCTGTATATCTCTCAGGTAGTCCACCAGCAGATAAACCCACCCCCCCACAGAGCGGAGCAAGGCAACGAAACTTAAAATAAGAAGCAGCATGTTATGGCACGCTATGCATGGGGCCACCTTGAGGGGGTTTCCCGACATGTTGTTTCAGTAAATGAAAGGGTGTTTCATGTTGTCGTTGCTGTGGACCTTCTTAATACCTTGGAAAATGCCGTTTAATACTTTTTAATAGCCTTAATTTTCGCTAAATTGATTTATCAACTTTTAATACTTTTTAAGACCCCGCGGACACCCTGTGTACTTAAGTACAGTTCTCATCTCTGTTCGCCTGGCTGTTGACTATATAATAAAACTAACGCAGTAACGGAGTAACGCACCATATTTGTAAGTTAAATAATTCTTTACATACAGCTGTGCAGGAACATGTGGATCTCTTCAAGTGATTTATTTTATTTGGAGATTTTTATTTTACATTTCTGTTTGTGAGATAGCAACAGATTGGAGAAGAGCAGGGCAAAAAGAGAGATCTGGCATAAAACCCAGGCCGTTGAACTAAGTACAGAGTACAGGCTCTACCAGTCGTGCTACTGGGGGGCCCGGATCCGCTCACTAGAAACTTGCCAAGATCGTAGAAAATTAAATGGTGGATGTTTGTTAAAATGTTTCTTTTTTTACATCAAAACTCATGTAATGACTAATTGATGTATCTGGAGGAGTGGGACCCAAGCCACTCGGGTACAGTGTATCTCTCCCCTATTCTTATTTTCACATGTGGACATTGGACTGTACTGATGCCAGACATTGTGGTCAGTTAACTGCCAGCACCAAGAGAGGGGAGATAAGGAAGGGAGACAGCAGGGGGAGGGTTGGAGAGCAAACAACTAATCCAACTAAAGAATTTGAGCGAAATCCCTCAGAAACTGTAAAGCAGGGGTGGGGAACCTCTGGCCTCCGGTCCGTATAGGGACCGCGAGACCATTTAGTACGGCCCTCGAGGTAATTTATAAACATACGCAAAAAAGAAAAAAAGAAATCTTAAAATGTCTTAAAATAAATCTAGACTGCAAAATAATTAAACAAGCGAGTGCCTGTTTTTCCTTGAACACAACACGAGCCTAACGTGTCATCACGTGGTATATGTCTCGTCTGACAGGGGTGAAGTTCTGCCGGAGAGCATTGGAACGCCGCTCCGGCACTTCACAAATGTCAGTACCCATAAGGAGCCGTACACATGCCGCAGTTTTTGCGAGGCTGTGTCTTTAGTTGAAAGCCCAGTGGCGATCTGTTCACCTGTCATACAGTCAATAACTTTGTTGTTATTAGCATCTGGTTAGCTAGCTATGCTAACGAATATAAGAAGCTTTTTCTCCAACCAGTGAGGTAAAGGCACATCTTTATATGATCATTATACACTGAACAAAAATATAAATGCAACACTTTTGTTTTTGCTCCCATTTTTCATGAGATGAACTCAAAGATCTAAAACATTTTCTATATACATAAAATAACCATTTCTCTCAAATATTGTTCACAAATCTGAAAAAATCTGTGATAGTGAGCACTTCTCCTTTGCCGAGATAATCCATCCCACCTCACAGGTGTGGCATATCAAGATGCTGATTAGACAGCATGATTATTGCACAGGTGTGCCTTAGGCTGGCCACAATAAAAGGCCACCGTCCATGTCAATCTTCAAGTTGAAGAACTTACCTGTCTGAATATCCTTCCACAGAACCCAAGACTTTGAACGATCCTCGAAAACCACAAAGCACCTCTGCTTCTCCCGATTTATCTGAAGGAGAAACAAAATAGATGGATGTCTTTCTTAACGCCACACTGTTCTTAAAGCATTTATTTAGTGCCAACGCATCTGGAATCTTTGAACAAGTCCAGTATGTCACATCTGCCAAATGTTGAGGATTTCTCCAGGTGGAGTCCTTGCGTCCTAAGACCAAAAGTGCTGAAAATAAACTAGGCTACAAGCTAAGCTAAAGTTGTGTAAAAAAAAAAAGGGATATAATAAGGGCACAATGGTTTGAAACTCAGATATGTGCATTTGAAGGCCTACTTAGGGGGCTATTCCACTGGGCTGTTTCCAGTGTTTTGAGCATCTTGTGTACTGGAGCAGGTTGTGGTACAAGTGTGAGGCAATTTATCATTATAATGGATATTGTGATAAACTGCTTGCATTTTGGACTTTTTTTATAACGAATCATAATCCTTTCCTGGTTTTAATGGCTGTTTTTAGTAAAGTGATTTGATTGTCTGATCTTACCCAGCTGTCGTAGCTGTTCTTATAATTGCGTGTTCCCACGTAGTTATAATAATCTCATATATGATGAATATTTATCAAAATTCTGTGTCATTTTGTGAAAGCAATAATAGTGAACCATAAAATTAATGTTGGGGTATGCTTTCCATACAAGGATTGAACATTTAAATGGGATGTTATCAAAATATGGGCTAGTGCAATATTTAAATTGCAATAAGCTCAATATTTGGTAAATGCAATATATGTGAAAATAAAAGTATTGTCGTGCTGCAAAGAAATTCCAGCCTACAAAAGGTAATAGACAGACTTACAATACATATGTAATCAAATTTAGTTTGGTACAGATCCTTATTTTAAGATAATGTGAATAATGTTTTTTTTTTTTTTTTTTAAATGAAAATTACCTCAAACTGCAATTGCAATATCAGTTTAAAAAAAATGCAGTTAGTATTTTTTCTAAATCATGCAGTCCTACTCAATACAGCCCATTCCTAGGTGTTACTGTGTATATAAATAGAAGTAATTTAGTGTCATAAGTAAATCCCCCCCCAGACTAACCTTGGTGATTGTCCCCAAGTAGAACAAGCCGTCTGACCACCGGGCCAAGACGTCCTGCCCCTCTGTGAACCTGTCCGACATGTCGTCCTCTCCATACTCCCCCTGAGCAGAGAGGCTGCTGGGAGACAAGGGCACGGCCTGCTGCTGCCGCTGGGGGAGGGCTCTGTGATGGACAGACAGGTGATCCACAACCCCTGAGTCTCTGGAAGACAAAGGGAGGTGAAGGGAAAGATGGCAGCAGTTAAATGAAGAGCGAAGCCTTTCCAATGGGGTAATAAGACAAATCAGTTTCTTTGTTTTTACAGTAATTCCAGATAATACTTAAATCCGTCACATTATACAATTCCCAGTCTCTATGCTGCAAGGCAGGCCAGGTGCTTGGGTGTTCATGTAACAATACAAACTTATTTATGCATTTAGGATGGAGGTAACAGTGCATGAACAATGAACATGTATGGGGTTACATGTTCTCTTAGTTTCTTTAAGCACTGGAAAAAGTGCTATATAAATATGATGCATCATTATGATTAGTTTAATTCAAAGTCAGGGTAAAAACAATTGACCTTGTTATACATGCCTACTGTTTTTTTTATAACCAATACTACTCAAGTTTATGTACATCACAAACCCCCTTGATAATTACAACTCTGGTTGAATCACAGCAACACTACAATCCACACTATAATTGGGACCATCTAATACATTCCTTTTAAAAGGATAACATACAATAAGAATTATGTGAAGATATATCTGTGAATATCCACTGAAGTGCTGCCCTGAATGTATAATCTCAATGGCAAAAACAAGGATATACTGTTGGGTTTCAGTAGATCTAACAAAACAATTGCTGAAAATTAGACTCATGCCATTTCCCCTCCATTGGAAACACACAACAGGTGATTCTACTCATAATTAGTGCTAATTGGTAATCAACCACATGCAGTCAGTGGGATGGCTGCAGGACAATGCTGAGTGGTTCTATAGCCTTTTCAACGTCAAAAACGAAGTAAACGCAACTTAAAGCTGACGTTCTATAAACTGGCAATTGAATGTCAGCGACCCTTGTCAGATATATTAATACAAGTTTGCCCTTGTTAGTGTTTAAATTCTGCTGTAAGTCTTGAGTTATTAAATTAAGCTAAAGCTTTATTTTTAATATTTATATTTCCATTTAGCCAGTCAGCCCGGGATTCCCTTTGTTCGGATACTGGGGGAACATGGTCAATTTTAGCCTCTGGTGAAGATAAATAGCTAGCTCGAGATAACGTTGCAAAGTAAAACCTATTAGAGCAGCTAGCATCTTAGCCGGATTAGCATGAATAACCCGCATGCAGAGCGGCAACGTTAACCCCGGAAAGGTCGCTGACCGTCGGACCCACACACCCCACACACAGGAGGAAAACATGACAACAATACCTCATTCGGTCACCTCCGCTTCTACAAATCACTGGGAAAATAAAATAACAAAAATAGTAAGGACAAAGGTTATCCCGCTTCTTCTGTGTTTGAGTTTATCTCAAAAGTATGTCGCGGAAACTTGCGGGAATCGTGCTTTCTTCAGAAGATAACAAACGGTTCATTTTCCCCCAACACGTTCGCCATTTTGGTTTCCCGCTGATGAACGGGGAGTGCATTATGGGAAGCGTTTAAACTGCTACTGCTGTCGCTACTACGCTCACCTTTTTTCAAACATTTGAAAATGTAGGCAGGCCCTTTACAAAGCAAGGCATATCCGCCCCTTAAAGAAGATGTTGGCTTTTAGTCGAACACTGCATATTTACAGCATTACTTATTCTGTAGGCAGTAGTGAAAAAAGTATTCAGATGTTTTACTTGAATAAAAGTACTAATACCACACTGTAAACATACTACATTTCAAGTAAAATAACTGCATTGTACGGAAGAGGATTAGGGCCATATGAGAAGAAAATGGGATGTGACCAAAAGTTTAAAAAACATTTAGATTTGAGTTTCAAAAAAGAAAAAAGAAGTTCTGACTTTTTACCCAGAATTCTGAGATTAAAGTCGACCCGGTCCGTATCCTCCTCCATAGAATCAATAATGCTCTACTTAAATAGTAAAAGTGTTCAAGTATGATTAGGAAAATGTACTTACAGTATTAGGAGTAAAAGTACTCATTGCAGAAAAAACCCCAAAAGATATTCAAAGGTAAAGCAGCAAAACTTCACATTTAAGAAGCTGGAACTGTGAAATATTTTGGAACAAAATTGTTGCAAATAATGTTAACCCACTTATGTTTATGACGACTTACATATCATGTTATATGGTTTAATCTATACCTAACAATAATATTTTAAAGTGTTTCATTAGCAATCTGTGTCAAAATCTGAATTTATAAGCCAACTACTAAATACATCTGTAAAATAAATATAGTGGAGTGAAAATTACAAAATCGTCTTCAAAAATGTATAGTATAATAAAGTTGTATACAATTAAAATACTCGGGTAAAGTAGGTTACCTCAAATGTGTACTACAGTTGAGTAAATGTAACCTACTTACTTTACCACCACGGTGTAGGTAAAATGTAAACTAACATGCCAGCATTATTGATCAACAGGTATTTTGGCAGATTTTATTTTTATTCTAGAAATTCACAAGTTCAGCTTAGAAGTAGGCCTACTACAACATCATGTAACCAGTGAACTGTTGACAGGTCATGTTTTATCACGCTTTAGAAGGTTACAAAATCATCTTTGGTTTTATTTTGGATGTAAGACCGGAAGATGGGCTACACTACATCTGAATAGGGTAACAGCTTAACTAATAATAATTAATAGATATTATAGTTACTGCATTAAACTTCTCCGGTAATAAAGGTACATTAAGAAAACATTAATCTTGTTCTTTCACGCTTTGTTTACATATTCAAATGAGCCGTCGTCTTATTTTTTTCTAATTTGCATATAGCCTATACGTTTCACAACACCAATTTGAACATTCAATAAAGCCAGATTCCAAAGTTTTGTTTCTCTTTTGTTGGCATGTTAGTCAAAGGGATTTTAGATATTGTACTAATCCCTATATCAGAACATCTAGCCTATCAAAAAATATGTATAAGAAAATGTACCAAAAATCCCACTTTTAATACTATAATGAACAAAGTCATCTGTAAAACCTTCAACATATAAACCTGGAAAAGTTGGTGAATGTAAGTGTGACTGGAGGTTGTATAATCCGTGTATCTATCGTCCATTTGTTTTTTCTTTATTAAACAAGTAAACGGAAGAGCGTCTGAGAGGCCTTTTTGCTTTTTACCTTACTAAATGGTCTAATGGTCATTGGAGCGAGGGGCGGGGCGAAACTCACGGAAGTGATTTCAAAACAAAAGCACTCGTGCTTGGAACTGTGATAATATTATAAAAAAGGAGAATTTAGCCTATGTCTAAAATGGACAACATTGTTAGGAGATTTAAACTATGCAGCGATTCTGCACTGCGGTCAACTCAGCCGTCTCTAGAGTTTGTTATTATTTTTTCTGCCATTAGTTCTTCTTGAGATTGACACTGTTGGACTCAGTACTAGTGAAACAACTCCCACAAGTACTATGAAGTACTTTACTGTGTACTTTTTGAGTAATCCTCTGTCAATGTCCCCTCTGAGCAGGGGCGGACTGGCCATCGGGACGTTCGGGACGAATCCCGATGGGCCGGTAGCCCGGTACCGAAGTGGGCCGGTCGGACCAATCGACACGGCCCACTGCCCCACTCCGATCGGCCCACTTCGGTACAGGTGAAATTGTAATCAGCTTAATGCTTGGCCCATGTAGTGAACGTGGATCGCTTTATATTATTGATCGTACTCAACACTCTCCCGCCGTTCTTATTATACATCCATATATATATATATACAGCCGCCCGGTACTCAGTAGATGCGTCATGAGGTGCCGAACGGACATTCTCATCGCTCTAACCGCTGGAGTTTCACAGCGGCTGTCAGCTGTTTACTCCTGTCATTCAAACAGAACGTGCTGGAGAGGGGGGCGGGGCTTATCTTCTCCATGTAAATACTGTGGTGGAACGACTATGTCAAAATACACGTTTCAAAATATAATAATAATAATAATGCCGAAGTAACAACATACTGAAAACTGTTAGTAAAACCATGTTTTAAAATGCTTTACAATTTACATACCTAGATGCCACGTGTGTTGTGTTTATGCAGTGCAACTCCCACCCAGTGGGTGGCTATGTAGAGTGATAGAACAGAAGCAGGCACGCCCCCGAGAGAAGGAAAGCAAGTCACGTCACAAATTAGCATTTCTAAAATGTTAGCGTGGATTAATAAAAGTGCAAAAAGACAGCGGTTTGTCGCCGGAAGAAACTTCAAATACAGAGAATGCTGTGCCTGTGTTGGGAAATTGGTGTCTGATGGGGAGCTTTCTTGGTTGATCCTCCTGCTCCAAGTTCTAGTGCATTAGCATTAGCACTAGCCTCCGCCGCCTCCTCCAGAGCCTCTAACGTTAGCTGCTGCTGGCGCAACTGCCACCACCAACACCGGGCAAAGCGATGCACCTGACTGCTGGACAACGGACCAGGTGCAATATTTTGCAAGACCAATGCATGGCTCCTTCTTAAAGATAGAAGCTAGGATGTCGGATATGCAGAGATGTCAAATCTTTGGGAATACACACTGGACAAGGAACTGAAACTGTCAACTGAATGGGGTGAGTGTGTAGTGTCTCATTTCGGTGTTGACAAGGGCAAACAACAAGCTAGCCTGAGAAAAAAAATCAAAGAACATAAAGAATCACAAGCCCATGTAAAAGCTGCTGACATCCTTACATCCTGCTTCACGTGAAACTATTCAACATCAAGTGCAGTCTAAATGCATAAATCTGAATTAGACACCACTATCAGAGTTTTTCGAACGGCATATAAAATTGGCAAACATAGCCGGCCATTCACAGACATGCCAATTGATTTGAATGTACAGAAACTGGAATGGGCTGAACGTGGGCATGGGTTTTGCACTCCAATAAAACCTGTGGCGAAATCATAGACAACATAGCTCATGAGCTGAAGAAAAAAATGGCAAAAGACATTAACAGAAAACCAAAGAAAACTCTGTGTTTTGGTCGATTAATCTAACCACTATTAGTGGTAAAACGGTGCTTGTTGTGTGTCTACGCTCAGCATTAGCTGATGCTGAGCCCGAAAAACGTTTTTTTGGGAGCTGATCGATTGGATGGAACAACGGCTGATGACATCACAAAGGCGTTAATGGAGTGGTCTTGGAAGAGATTTTAACGAGGACTTTTTAGGTCAGTGTTTCGTTTCTTTTGCATGTGATGGGGCTTCAGTCATGCTAGGGAAGAGAACAGGCGTTGCTACCCAGTTGTGTAGTAAATTCCCAAGCCTGTTTGTGTGGCACTGCTCCAATCATCATCTAGAGCTGGCAGTTGGGGATGTGGGTCAAGGGAGGTCTCAGGGCTCATCATTTCCAGATCTTTTTTGACAAACTCTATTCCTTGTTCCATGCCTCCCCCCAAAAATCAGAGGCAGTTAGCGCAGTGTGCGCAAGCAGTCGGACAGCGTCTCCTGGTGATAGGGCGTGTTTTGTCCATCCGCTGGGTGGCTTCAAGTGAAAGGAGCGTCAGAGCAGTCTGGGAAAACTACCGAGTGCTTCATGATCACTTCACAAATGCTGCAAACGACACGAGCAGGGGATTCCAGAGGACAGAGCAAAGTACAAGGCCTGGAATGATGTGCTCACATCTGCAACGTTTGTCAGCAATCTTGGACTGATGTACGATGCGCTCACAGAGCTCAGCGACCTCTCTCGGCAACTCCAAAAAAGAGAGAGGACACTGCCTACAGCAGATAGGCTCTTAACTCGAGAAATACGAGTTTTTGAATCCATGGTCACCATGCCTGGCCCACACATGACTACAGTTCATACAGCTCTAGCTGAGAAGTCCTTCAAGGGTGTTGCCCTGCGTGAGAATGGCAGGCTTGTACAGATTCATGCAGGTCAGTTTTTTCCGCAGTATGGTAGAGAATCTGAGACACAGAATGACTTCCACAACCTCCTCTCATGTCAGCAGCAAGAGAAATACCCATTACATGGCCGGGAAGGCCCGGGACAATCAGCTAATCCAGGACATGAAAGTTATCCATCCTGGAAGTTGGCCTGAAGAGGAGTTAGACGTACAGTATGGGGACGTAGAGGTGGCTACGTTTGTGCGAAGTGCTGAAAGTGGACAGAAGAGAGACTGTTCAAGCGTTCGCGACTACAAGGAAACCAGGGCATCCCGTACACCTGCTGCCATGGAGCCTCTACTGGAAAGGCAGTCCGAACCATCGCTGTCTCCACTAGTGAGTGTGAGCGGGCATTCAGCTGCATGACGATATCCTTACTGCAAAAAGGATGCTCTCTCTGTCAGCCGACTGTTCAGCCTGGTTTTCATTAAATGTAATGGACCATCACTAGGACATGTTCAATCCGGAACAGTATGTGAGGTCCTGGCTGGCAAAGGGAAGGAGAAAGTGCTGATGAAAGAGCCTGTCCAGCTCCGCCCCTGATACTGATGTCCCCAAGGCCTTCTGGAGCATTTTCTAACAATGTGAAGTATATTGCAAAGCAGCTCACCCAGTGAGAAGACTTTTGGCATAATGTGCCGATTTGTACAGATCCTGGAGATAGAAGGACTTCAGACCAACCAGGGAGTTATCTGATCAGCTTGGTG